AGGTTGAAGTTATAATGAGCTATGATGGCCCCACTGCACTCCAGCCTGAGTGACAGAGAGAGACCTTGCCTCAAAAAATAAAATGATTAATATTATGCTATGAATGTCATCTCAATTTGTTTAAAAAAAAAAGAGTGAAGGAGATGCTGAAGGACCTATTTTTTTAAAGCCTTAAAAGTAGAGAAAAATAGAGTGAAACAAATTCAAATACAAAGCCAAAACAAAACAAGGGTGAGAATTTCACCCTGAAAATAAAATGGATATGGACACTTTTAGCTAACAAGTAAAAAAGATTAGAGTATACACAATCACAAAAAAAGCAAATCAAAATATTTTTCTGCGAGCAGTACTCTGGGTGCTGGCTGAATAGATGAAACACGTAACTGTTATTTTAAAAATTTCACTGCAATGCTAAAGGGCAGGAAACCTAGACAAAATAGAGATAGGGAAGAACCCTGCTTTCCTGAGAACCTAGAAAGTTAAAAGCAATATCCTGGCCTGAAATGGATACAACAAAGACTAGAAAAGAAAGATTATCCTAAGGATCAGGACCTACAGATAAGACATTATAGTAAGAGATAGGAAGGAAGACAATGAATGCCTAACATAGACTAAAGCTTGGGGGCCTTGAGTAGTAGTGAACACAACACATAAAACGCAGAAGTGCCAGCAATTGATATCCCAGTAATTTCCAGCTTACCATCCCAAATTTTTCCCATCCCTGCCTAATAGCCTACTCCACAACAGTCATGGCAAAATCTACTGCAACAGCCAGGGCTATAAGGTCAGCATTCCTTAACTCCTAGTTTAGCAGGGAAGCTCAAAATATACATTTTTCTTGAAACTAAAGTACTCTATTGGACCGGCCAGAGGGGATGAGCTTAAGGTGGGGAAGTAGATTTATGTGCCATTCATAATATTTGAATTTCCAAAAAAATATAAAGAGCCTTAGACTTAAGAAATAGAAACTGTGGTGTGTTTAATTAAAAAAAAAAAAAAAAATTCCTTGCCACTATTGGTTAAACAGGTGGGTTTTAAAGCCAGAGCTCCTGGGATCAAATGCCGGATCCACCATTTATTAGCAAGTTCATCACTCTTTGCTTGTTTTCTCCTTTGTAAGAAGTAGATAATAATAGTATGTAAAGGTTTTTGAAGACTATACGTAAGATATGCATGGCACCTGGTGTTTGCTAAGGTCTCAACACATGTTACTTTCACTTTTCTGATCATTCTGTTTCCTGCTGAGGAGAGCTGCGCCCAGATTTGCTTTTTTCTTTTCTTTTCTTTTTTTTTTTTTTTTTTTGAGACAGAGTCTCGTTCTGTTGCCCAGGCTGGAGTGCAGGGGCACGATCTCAGTTCACTGCAAGCTCCGCCTCTGGGTTCACACCATTCTCCTGCCTCAGCCTCCCAAGTAGCTGGGACTACAGGCGCCCGCTACCTCGCCCAGCTAATTTTTTTTGTATTTTTAGTAGAGACAGGGTTTCATCCTGTTAGTCAGGATGGTCTCGATCTCCTGACCTCGTGATTCTGGACGTGGTGGTTCACATCTGTAATCCTACCACTTTGGGAGGCTGAGGTGGGAGGATAACTTGAATCTAGGAGTTGGAAGCCAGCCTGGGCAACATAGTGAGTCCCCATGTCTAAAACATATTTTCAAACAATTAGCTGGAGGTCATGGTACATGCCTGTAGTCTATCCCAGCTACTCAGGAGACCAAGGTGGGAGGATCATTTGAGCCCAGGAGGTTGAGGCTGCAGAAAGCAATGATAATGCCACTGCACTCCAGCCTGGGTGACAGAGCAAGATTTGTCTCTACAAAAATAAAAAATTAGCCAGGCATGGTGGCACAGGCCTGTAGTCTCAGCTACTCAGGAGACTGAGACAGGAGGTTGCTTGAACCCAGGAGGTTGAGGCTGCAGTGAGCTGAGATCACTCCACTGTACTCCAGCCTTGGTTACAGAGCAAGATCCTGTCTCAAAAAAATTAAAGATTAAAATAAACAAACAGAAGACTGAAACATAATTAGAAATTCAGCCCTTCCTCTCCAAATTTCCTCTAGGTTCATGTATGTGGGTCAAACTTTTAAAGAAGCCCAACAAATTGATTTGTAGCCAAAGACTAAGCTCCATGGTAATAATAGCAGTGGCTAACACTTCAAACTAACTGTGTGACAGTCACTATTATAGACTGATTTTTTATAATGACCCTGTGGGGTGGGTACACATTATCCCTGTTTTACAGATGAGAAAACTGAGTTACAGAGAGGCTAAGTATCTTGCTTAAGGTCAGCTATTGATATGGCTATTAAATGGCAGTTAGGGTTAGAATCCAGGTAGTCTGTGTATTAGTCCATTTTGACACTTCTGATAAAGACATACCCGAGACTGGGAAGACAAAGAGGTTTAATTGGACTTAAAATTCCAGATGGCTGGAGAGGCCTCAGAGTCATGGTGGGAGGTGAAAGGCACTTCTTACATGGCGGCAGCAAGAGAAGATGAGAAAGATGCAAAAGCAGAAACCCCTGATAAAATCATTAGATCTCATGAGACTTATTCACTACCATGAGAACAGTATGGGGGAAACTGCCCCCATGATTCCAATTATTTCCCACTGGGTCCCTCCCATAACACATGAGAATTATGGGAGTATAATTCAAGATGACATTTGTGTGAGAATACAGAGCAAAACCATATCATTCTGCCCCTGGCCCCTCCAAATCTCATGTCCTCACTTTTCAAAATCAATCATGCCTTCCCAACAGTCCCCCAAGGTCTTAACACATTTCAGCACTAACCCAAAAGTCCAGTCCAAAGTCTCATCTGAGACAAGGCAAGTCCCTTCTGCCTATGAGTCTGTAAAATCAAAAGCGAGCTAGTTACTTCCTAGATACAATGGGGGTACAGGTATTGAGTAAATATAGCCATTCCAAATGGGATAAATTGACCAAAACAAAGGAGTTACAGGGCCCATGCAAGTTCAAAATCCAGCAGGGCAGTCAAATTTTAAAGCTCCAAAATAGCCGGGCACAGCAACTCATGCCTGTAATTTCAGCACTTTGGAAGGCCGAGGTGGGTGGATCACCTGACGTCAGGAGTTCGAGACCAGCCTGGCCAACATGGTGAAGCCCTGTCTCTACTAAAAATTCAAAAATTAGCCAGGCATGGTGGTGAGTGCCTGTAATCCCAGCTACTTAGGAGGCTGAGGCAGGAGAATTGCTTGAACCCAGGAGGCGGAAGTTGCAGTGAGCTGAGATTGCACCATTGTACTCCAGCTTGAGGAACAAAAGTGAAACTCCATCTCAAAAATTAAATAAATAAATAAAATAAAAATAAAGCTCCAAAATGATCTCCTTTGACTCCAGGTCTCATATCCAGATCACGGTGATGTAAGAGGTGGCTTCCCATGGTTTTGGGCAGTTTCATCCCTGTGACTTTGCAGGGTACAGCTGCCCTTCTGGCTGATTTCATGGGCCAGCATTGAGTGTCTGGGTTTTTTCCATGAGCACAGTGAAAGTTGTCGGTGGATCTACCATTCTGGGGTCTGGAGGATGGTGGACCTCTTCTCACAGCTCCACTAGGTGGTGCCCCAGGAGGGACTCTGTGGGGGCTCCAACCCCACATTTCCCTTCTGTGCTGCCCTAGCAGAGGTTCTCCATGAGGTCCCTGCCCCTGCAGCAAACGTCTGCCTGGGCATCCAGTCGTTTCCATACATCTTCTGAAATCTAGACGGAGGTTCTCAAACCCCAATTCTTGACTTCTGTGCACCTGCAGGCTCAACGCCACATGGAAGCTGCCAAAGCTTGGGGCTTGCACCCTCTGAAGCCATGACCTGAGCTCTATGTTGGTCCTTTTCAGCCATGGCTAGAGCAGTTGGGATGCAAGTCACCAAGTCCCTAGACTGTACACAGCACAGAGACCCTGGGCCCTGCCCACAAAACCATTTTTTCCTCCTAGACCTCTGGGTCTTTGATGGGAGAGGCTGCTGCAAAGGTCTCTGACATGCTCTGGAGACATTTTCCCCATCATCTTGGGGATTAACATTTGGCTCCTCATTACTTACGCAAATATCTGCTTGAATTTACAAATATCTGCTTGAATTTCTCCTCAGAAAATGGGGTTTTCTTTCTTTCTTTTTTTTTTTTTTTATCCCTGATGGAGTCTCACTCTGTTGCCCAGGCTGGAGTGCAATGCTGCAATCTCGACTTACTGCCACCTCCATCTCCTGGGTTCAAGTGATTCTCTTGCCTCAGCCTCCTGAGTAGCTGGGATTATAGGTATGAACCACCATGCCTGGCTAAGTGTTGTATTTTTAGTGGAGACAGGGTTTCCCCATGTTGGCCCGGGTAGTCTAGAATTCCTGACTTCAAATGATCCACCCACTTCAGCCACCCAAAGTGCTGGGATTACAGGCATGAGTTGCTGCGCCCAGCTAGGATTCTTTTCTATCGCACTGTCAGGCTGCAAATTTTCTGAACTTTTATGCTCTGCTTCCCTTTTAAAACTGAATGCCTTTAACAGCAACCAAGTCACATCTTGAATGCTTTGCTGCTTACAAATTCCTTCCGCCAGATGCCCTAAATCATCTCTCTCAAGTTGAAAGTTTCACAAATCCCTAGGGCAGGGGCAAAATGCTGCCAGTCCCTTTGCTAAAACATAACAAGAGTCACCTTTGCTCCAGTTCCCAACAAGTTCCTCGTCTCTATCTGAGACCACCTTAGCCTGGACCTTATTGTTCATATCACTATCAGCATTTTTGTCAAAGTCATTCAACAAGTCTCTAGGAAGTTCCAAACTTTCTCACATTTTCCTGTCTTCTCTGAGCCCTCCAAACTGTTCCAACCTCTACCTGTTACCCAGTTCCAAAGTTGTTTCTACATTTTCGGGTATCTTTCCAGAAACACCCCACTCTACTGGTACCAATTTACTGTATTAGTCCATTTTCATGCTGCTGATAAAGACCCACCCAAGACTGGGAAGAAAAAGAGGTTTAATTGGACTTACATTTCCACAAGGCTGGCAAGGCCTCAGAATCATGGTGGGAGGCGAAAGGCACTTCTTACATGGTGGTGGCAAGAGAAAATGAGGAAGCTGCAAAAGTGAAAACCCCTGATAAAACCACCAGATTTCATGAGACTTATTCACTACCATGAGAACAGTATGGGGGAAACTGCCCCCATGATTCCAATTATATCCACTGGGTCCCTCCCACAACATGTGGGAATTATGGGAATACAATTCAAGATGAGATTTGGGTGGGGAACAGATCCAAACCATATCAATCTGGCTCCAGTGAGCCTGCCCCAAACCCACTATAACCACTGTCTCTGGAAGCCTAGGATGAACCTGGCTATAATTCAAGAAGCAAATTACAGAGGCTTCCCTCTTTCTTTGAGTCAAGTTTCAAAGACATGGGAGAGGGGGGAGAAGGATGAGGAAGAGCATACAAGGCTTTTTTTTTTGTTTTGGTGCTGTGTTGTCTGAGCTTGGTGGGTTGAATGATGAAGTGGTGATATAATTTGGATATTTGTTCTCTCCAAATCTCATATTGAAATTGATCTCCAGTGTTAGAGGTGGGGACTGGTGGGAGACATTTGAGTCAGGAAGGTGGATTCCTCATGAGGGACTTGGTGTCATCCTCACTGTAATGAGTGAGTTCTCTACTAGCTCACAGGAGAGCTGGTTGTTTACAAGAGCATGGCACTCCTGTCCTGTCTTTTGTTCCCTCCCTCACCATGTGACACACCTGCTCCCCTTTCACCTCCAGCATGGCTGGAAGCCTCCTGAGGTCCTGACCAGAAGTAGATGCTGGTACCATGCTTCTTGTACAGCCTGCAGAACAGTGGGCCAAATAAACCTCTTTTCCTTATAAGTTACCTCAGGTATTCCTTTATAGTAATGCAAAACAGACTAAGACAGATGGGTTCATTGAGTAGGCATACAGGATGTGAGTATTCTTTTGAAATCATTCTTTAAAACTTACTTGCTAAAATATTAATAGAAAAATTATTAAATGATCTCTTATTAAAATGGAAAAAGACGGCTGGGCGCGGTGACTCACGCCTGTAATCCCAACACTTTGGGAGGCCAAGGTGGGTGGATCACCTGAGGTTGGGAGTTCAAGACCAGCCTGACCAACATGGAGAAATATCATCTCTACTAAAAATACCAAATTAGCCAGGCGTGATGGCATATGCCTGTAATCCCAGCTACTTGGGAGGCTGAAGCAGGAGAATCGCTTGAACCCAGGAGGGAGAGGTTGTGGTGAGCCAAGATCGTGCCAGTGCACTCCAGCCTGGGCAACAAGAGCAAAACTCCATCTCGAAAAAATAAAAAATAAATAAGGAAAAAGACATGGCTCTTTAATACTAAACCATAGTGAAGAATTTTAAAGAGCAGGATACCCCAGAAGTTTGTAAATAGAAAATATTTTTATTTCTATATTAATAGTTAAAGAGATATGTAGCAGCTGTGCAAATGTGGGAGTAGGGGGACTGCCCATTAAGTTTATACACTCCTTTCAAATTATTCTGTAGTTATATGAATTTCAGCTCACCCACAAAATGTCTAGAAATAGAGTTTTTCTCCATGAGTGTCATTCTTTGCTATACTACATTACATCATACAATTTATAGAAGGACTATGAGGAATTAAAATGTTAAGATTTTATTTGATATGGTAATATTTATTACTTTAAACCTAATTCAGGTAAGATCCACAGGCAATTTTAAATATTGTTGAGGAAGTTGTCATTATTAGGAGACAGTGAACTGAAACTAAACATTAACATTTTCTATTAGAGATCTTGGTGAATTGATTGTAGAATGGGAAGTCACCAGCTTTGCCAACAAAAAGGTAGCCTGAATGAGGAATGCTGAGGAAATGGACCAGTCTTACGCATGGTGGTCTGCTTACACCCCAAAATCTTTTCCATCTAGGGACTGGCAAAAGATGGTGCCCTCTAGAGAAGTGCTACAATGAAAAGGGAAAGGAATGCATGGTGGTTCAGACTGATACAAAGCAATGAGACTGCATTAGCAAGCTGAGCAGCTAGGGAAAGCCTTCAGCAATGACTTCATGAACAAAACATTTATTTTCCCTTTCATACCCCAGATTACACCAATAAGAAGCCCTGTAAAGTGTGCAGTTAAAAACTTCCTTCAATTCTGCCTCTGTCAGGGAATTCCTCCCCAGGCTTTGTCAAAATCAAGCTTGTGCTTTGCAGTTTTATTTATTTCATGGGCTTTCATCTTAAAAATTGAGTTAGCTATCCTCAGGTCTCATTACTTTTTTTTTTTTTTTTCTTATTTTTAAACCACCAGATCTTGCGAGACTCATTGCTTTTGAGGAAAAGAGGACAGAGACCTAGGCTTAATGTCTAAAATTAATTAATTGGGTAAAAAGAGTTCTTTCAGATTCTAGATGCTAACAGTCTTCATTACGGGACCTTAGGCAAACAGTTAATTCCGGCTCTGCAAGAGGAAGTGAGTAAGAGTGCTTTGTTATTTTTAGCATGATAATAACATACATCATTACTGTGACTACAACTCATTGTAAACCAAAGTTAATTATTTTCATATTTTTCTTATTATATTTGATCCTAATGATGACACGGGGCTGCAATAGGAACATGAGATTTTTTTTTTTTAAGGCTAGGTCAAATATTATCCAGCTTAGAATTCTAACAATGGGCCAAAGGGATTAGATTGGAGACCTACATTGCCCTACTTCATGTTAACCTAAAAATTCAACACAGCACCTTGCAACTCTTCCTGTATAGAGCCAGGATTATGAACATAATACCCCTATTGTAACTGCCATTTATTTGCTTTTAATTCCCAAATCTAGATCTCCAGCTCAGATTTCCTGTCCCAAACTCTAAACTCCAACTGCCTTCTTCATGTCTGCCTGCCTGGCTGCCCTGGTGTCCCACAGGCATCTCCAAGTCAACATGTTCAAAATGGAATTAACTTGTCTCCTTCCTCACTCCACCCCAGAACTATTCCTCCATTTTTCAGTGAATGAATAGTACCCCTTTAGACCCAAGGCAAATTAGAGAGCATTCCAAATCCCTTCCTTCCCCCACTGCCCTCCCTTTTTACTCCTAATTAGTGGTCAGCCATACTGACTCCACTTGGTTCCAGTTATCAGCCATCTCCACCCGAATAAATGGCTACTACCGGTTGTCTTAGGTTGGGTTCCCTAAAAACAGAATTTGAAAGCAGGTGTGGGGTACACATGATCTATCAAGGCACTGAATTCCTCGAAGAACCTATAAGGGAAGGAGAGAAGACAAACAGGGTAAGGGAAAGAGCCTAGCCAGGATGTGTGATCGCAGGTAAAGTCCATCATGGCCTGATCCACAGGTGAGGGATCTGAAGCATTAACCACACAGCAGGGCTGTCTCCCACTTGAGGCAAGGGTACCAGCCTTTTGTACCCTCCTCTGACCTCTGCAACAGTCAGTCACTCAGTGCCAGAGTTTGGGTGGAGTCATTATGTGCCTAGAGTTCTGCAGTTATCCAAGTACTTTTCCATGAATGTATAACAATACTTCTAATTCCAATCCAACATCTCAGCGCTCCTTCAAACTTAGCTTCTTTCTGTATTTCACCTTCTGTAATGGTGACAAATCTCTAATACCTTAAATATATTGAATTATTTGTTCAATCAATTTTCTTTTTTTTTTTTTTTTTTTTTTTTTTTGAGGCGGAGTCTGGCACTCTTGCCCATACTGGAGTGCAGTGACCCGATCTCGGCTCACTGCAAGCTCCGCCTCCTGGGTTCACACCATTCTCCTGCCTCAGCCTCCCGAGTAGCTGGGACTACAGGCGCCCGCCACCTCGCCCGGCTAGTTTTTTTGTATTTTTTAGTAGAGACGGGGTTTCACCGTGTTAGCCAGGATGGTCTCGATCTCCTGACCTCGTGATCCGCCAGTCTCGGCCTCCCAAAGTGCTGGGATTACAGGCTTGAGCCACCGTGCCCGGCTGTTCAATCAATTTTCTTATTTGCTCAATGTAAGCAGTCTCCTTGCCCTGTTGGTGGTCTCCTCTGTTCAACACCTATGTATGCCATCTCTGTGTTCTCAGGCACCAGTGGGCAACAGCAGTGTGCTTCTGCACAGCTCCTTCCTCTCCACTTTAGTGTTCTGTGTTCTCTGTCTTTGGGTATAGCTGGGACTTTGTTTTCTGCTGCCCTAACAGAATACCAAAGACTGGGCAATTTACAAAGGAAATACATTTATTTGGCTCAGATTCTGGTGACTGGAAAGTCCAAGATCAGGCAGCTTGCTTCAACTCATGATAGAAAGCAGAAGGGGAAGAGGGCGTGTGCAGAGACCAAACAATCTGCTCTCACAGTAACTAATCCAGTCCCTGGAGACAGAACTCACTCTGGAGAGAAGGCGTTAATCTATTTATGAGAGATCAGCCCGCATGACCCAGACACCTCTCACAAGGCCCCATGTCCCAACACTGCCAAATTAGGAATCAAATTTCAACGTGAGTTTTGGATGGGACAAACTACGTCCAAACCACAGGCGTGGACAAGCTTCCAAATCACCCCTGTGCAGCTCAGCCCTTCCTGCCTCCCTGCCTCAGCAAGGGTGGATGGGGAATGGGCAGGGAAGGGAAGGGGAGAGGTGGGAAGGGGAGGGAAGCTGGAGGTAATGAGTGCTGAGTACAGCTGCAGCTGGGAGCTTTGTCTGTGTACCACTCTGATTCTCTGGAGAAGAACTCCCAGGCCTCTACACACACACAGCACTCAGCTATCAGCTTAATGCCTGTTTCAAATTATAGCATACCTCAGTCTGCAAGCTAGCAGTGTCTTATAATAGTATAAGACAAAGACCAGAAGGTACTTCTGGTGGTGGGCCTCTCAGCAGGCCCCTCAACCCACCTCACCTCCTCTCTGCCAGAGTAACACTGTCCTTGCCTCTCTGAGTTAGATGGTGGCAGTGGGATATGCCAGGGAGTTTTGCTACTTACTTTCTAGATAAGTTGTCCTTGCTCAAGAAGGAGGGTGGTACGCAGCCCTCACTGGCTCCTTTCAACCCTGGCCCGTCATTACTGCTGGAAGAAATCCTCCCAGATT